TGGCGACGTTTTCCTCGGGTAGTGTTTACTAATGTTCTGAGATCCATGAGAAGACGTTGTGTGGCAGTACGAGACGCTAGAGGAGGCCACACCCGTAACTAAACACTTTATTCCAATTGTTCTCCAAGTCTGTGAATTTCATTTTGGGGGGTACTGTGATATCACGAACGTTATCAATGTCAAGGACTTTCGGCGAGACGTATTCGTGCTTTCTGTTGATGTCAAGGTCGTCTGTGCACAACATAACACTAAAATAGTTGCCTTAAACCAAATATTAAAAATCTAGTCCCAAAAATCCCGAGTGTTAAGTTTTTAATTTGGCTGAGTATATAATATATATATCCAAAATTATTAGCACAACCGCAAAGCTGCACTACTTTGTTTCACAGTAAATGATGAAAAGATAAAAGGTATGCCGACACAAACTGATTTCAACGCTGGTTTAATAACATTTTAAAGTACTTTTCGTCCGTCTTGGGATTATTCATAAATAATGTCATTGTATAGAGATGGACAGTATAGTATATTTATACATATTTACATAGTAATACTGTGGTTTTAATTGGCTATAGTTACCATTGTCTATGGTTACATAGTATATCGCTAACTAATAGAAAACATGTACACACGTGTGTTAATCTGCAGTATAAGGGTTCAATTTAGGAACAATGAGTGGACGATAATCATGGGATAAATTTAAGAAAATTGTTACTTATTGACTATTAAGTTGAGGAACGTATTTTTTTAATAAAATGGTTTTCCATTAATTTCCTTTTCGTGGTGTCGTCGACTTTTATAAAAAGGGAAAATTTTGAATTTTACATGTAGGTGTTGGACACATTTAAAAATATGTCTATTTACAAATAAGGGCCCATTTTCAATATTACAATCCCGTCGATGGTTGCGTACTCTATCCCGTAGATGCGTGGACGTCTCACCTATGTAAAAATTTAGACACCCATTGTAAGTCAAGACATAAATGAGATTTTTTTTGTGTGTCACAGTTCATATTGTCGTTGACACTAAATGTAAACTTAGGAAAATTATATATATATATATATACGGTATAAGCACAGGGTACAAAGAAAATAGAGGCCATATTGTTCGCCATTTGCAATTTCCACCATATTTTATTCTCGAAAATAACATCGAAGTCACCGTCACTAAAAACCTATAAAAAGGTACCACACAATATATGGGTTCTACGTCAAAAACAGCTTTCTGACGAAAAGATAGGGATATGAACTTTCAGGAGTCATGTAAAGAGGAGTTAGGGGTCCCCGATTTCAAAATTCTTTTGTTAAATAATCAGTAAATCAGGCCTCGTGGTAAAACGTATCTAATAATTCTATAAATCTGATTCGTTAAATTACCATAGCAAATTCTGGTTATAATTTATTATACTACGTGTATATTGGTAAAGCGAGCCTTAGGTCGCGCATAAAAAAATGTCTATTAGGAATCACGTGTTTGATACATATACAAACCAGGATGTAATGCAATACCAACTGCTTTGCGCATGATGTCACATGTGATATATAGCGTTGTGGTGATTTTTTTATGTTACGGTTTTTTTGTTTTGGGGTTTTTTTTGTCTTTTTTATTGACTCTTCATAAAAAGTAGGTGATATTGAAATGCAAATACCTATGCAGGTTGTGTCATGATAAATAGTCATGGACACTTGACATGCTTTGAGAGTATGTTCACAGATGAAGAACGTATCGCCCCAACAGAATCACTGAGCTTCACATGCGACACGCAATAGCGACATACACGTGGGAGGGGTTCATTGTCAAATTTGCCACTTCAAAGAAGGATTGATGAAAACTGCCGCGTGCTGGTTTATCCCATTCATGTTTGCTTTCCTATCAGTTCTTGCATAAGATTTACTGTTTAGTGTATCTTTGCTTTAGTGTGCTACGTTTAATGAGACGTCTTCAAAATGATGAATGTCTACGTGCTATTGGCATGCTTCAGATGGGTTCTACACAGCGAGCAGTAGCCAACATGCTTAATGTGTCACAGTCTGTGATCAGCACTGTGGAACCGGTACAAACAAACACACAATGCTGATGATAGACCTCGTTCATGTCGTCCTAGAGCCACTACACAAGCCCAGGATCGTTACATTCGTACACAGGTCCTGCGAAATCGAGGACAAGCGGCCAATCAGCTTTCTGTAAACTTGTACCAAGTTACAGGAATTTGAGTTACACCCCAAACGATTAGAAATCGGCTACATGCAGCGTGTTGTGCCTCAATTAACTCGCCAGCACATGGCAAACAGGCGTCAATGGTGTAGGCAGCGTAGAAATTGGGGTAATCGTCGATGGGCGCGTGCAATGTTCTCAGATGAGTCCAGATTTACTCTGGATTTCACCGATAGGCGTGTTCGCGTTTGAAGGCGTGTAAATGGGCGTCATGCTAACGTTAACGTCAGACAGCATGACAGAATCGGGCGTGGGTCTGTTATGGTTGGGAGGAATCACCATGACTTGCAGAACGGACTTGCATATTGTTCAATTAAGGGTCACTGGTGTGTACTACCGTGACCACATCCTGGCACTGATAGTTCTGCCCTTTGCGCAACGTGCAGGTGGACGTTTCATCTCCCAAGATGATAATGCCCGTGCCCACCGCGCTCGTGTCGTGAATGACTACCTCAAGCGTCACCATATTATCCATATGCCTTGGCCAGCCATGAGTCCTGACCTTTCCCCTATAGAGCATGTCTGGGACATGACCGGGGACGTGTTCGTCGATGTCAACGTCTACAAACAACACTGCAAGAATTGGCCGTGGCACTGCAAGAGGAGTTGGTCAGACTGCCCCAAATCGTGATTGGACGGTTGATTAGGAGCATGCCAGGACGAATTGCTGAATGTCTGATGATTGGTGGAGCAATTACTCATTATTAAGACAAAAATCAAAAACGTCTATTTTCACTTTTTACGGTGTATCTGGTTTTGTATTGTTTCTGAATATCCCCTACTTTTTTTGAATAATATATAATACTTTATTATTATCTAAGTGTAGGATAAATCACGAGACTGAGGTTATGCTGGGGAAAGAAAGACTGAAGAAAACAATCAACGTTACACCCTTGCAATGTTTTTGTCCTTTCGTAGACAGACGGTGTACAGTATATTCAAAATAACCTTGGACTCACTTATGAATCGAAACTCCATGACTGATCTATTGGCATTAATGTAAACGTCAATTTATCAGCAGTGGTTGGGGAATTCTTTCTAACACATATTGTTCCGAATCCCTTCAAGGAAGAATAATTTGTCGGTTTCTAAATTTCTGGTTTATTTATTTCAATTTAAATTGTATTTCACAATCCAAAATATCATCTAAATGCAATAAATAAATGCGATAAAATGTACACGAAGAGAAGTGATTAAATTGGCATGCTGATGGAAGCAAGAAAAACACACACTAATTAGTCACGTGTATCTGTGTTATCCGCTCACTTATACCAGAGTATTGTTCATACCCTTTTCTAGAGGGGGTAGAGAGGATGCTTTAACGAGTACCCATTAATTCATAAGGTCTGTAATTCAGTCAAATAGCGCGGTTTCGATTCCCCATTGTGCGCAACAAGGAGTAGATTCGCCTGTCCAACAGCTAAACCCCTCTACGCGTAAGCGAATTCTTGAAATAAAATTGAACCATGTTTTAATTCTGAAAATTTCTACCTGATCGACATCCAGGCCTTGCAACATCGTCGGCAAAAGTGTGAACAACCTGAAAATAAATGGAAGCCATCAACTTTGTACATGTCTTTCGTAGATAAGCTTAGAAATTTTCGGCTAGCCCTAGTAGTTAGTGAGTGGGTCAATTCTACTTAAGACCCGAACGGATTCTGGTCGAGCGTAGGGTGGTACGAATTTAATTGAATTAACCAGGCGGTCACGGGTTCGATCCCCGTGATGGCCACTTAATTTTTTGCATTTCCAGCCGATAAACGCGATACAGGACAGGGAAAAACCTCAGTTGATCAGATAGGACGATAAAAGTGCACGTAAATAACCCTTGTAAGTTTGAATTCGTCGAAGAGTAGGCTGATTTTAACGATATACTATTTATGGTTTTTACTGCCCATTTTGCTTAACGACACATTTAAGCAATACATAATTCCTATTTCGAATTTTTAGGAGTTTTGTAATAAGTATGTCCTTTCGATCATAAAACCTCAAACGCGTAAGTTACACAGGTTCTAATGGGATATGTCAGAATATGTTTATTGCACAATGACAGCCTTCTGGCATTTTTCATTGCCGCGTTGTCTTCCACTGCTGATGTACACATCCCCACTGTAAATAATGTTATATATTAATGAGAATTATTGTTATGCGAGAAATGTGGTCAATTTTTTTCCGCACATAGTACTGCGAATTCCTACAGACTTCCCCTTCCCCCGAATCCGCGCAAAAGTAGTTATTATAGGATACCACCTAAAATGTTTTTTGTTAATTTATTTAGGTATAGTGCAAGTATATGTTTATTGACATAGTATAAAAATAATGACATCGCATCAGATAACATTATAGGGCTACGATAAGCTAACATTATATGAGATGTAATATCGCATGATTTCAGCTGTATAGCGAATACAGTGTACATTTTCTTTCCACACCAGCAAATCTCAAGCTTATTTTATAGCGGCATATGACAAAAAAAACACCCAATACGTTCGTCTTCTCTAGTCCTATTTTAAAGAAAAGTAAGACGTTTAACCCCATTTCATTTACGGTCCATTTTTAGATATAGAAGCAAGCTGTCAAATAGCATTTATTACTGTGATTAAAAGGTTCTAAATTATTTTCCACACTTCCGTACCAGTGTTATTATTTTAATATTTTAACAAATCATGGCAATTTATCAGAAAGCAGACAAGCATAACGCATTAGTAAACAGGGTTTAAGATTGGCTGCGTTGTGTGCATAGCTATAAATACCTGTAACAAAGAGAATTATGTTACATATATTAAAAATGGCGACTGCCGAATGGTTTATCATTATGACGGTTGCTGTAATAACCGTATCGGGTAAGTTTAAATATGTTTATATAGAAGATGGTGCGCTAAGGGTTTCACAAAAATAAATGTATTACCTTTGTTTGAATTGTATCCCATTTATCAGGCAGAAGTTGTCCTTCCTGGTATAATTATTATACGAGATCACATTCGAAAAATAACAAGATCGGGCTAATATTTTGACATTGTTGCAATAATTAAATAGCTCTTGGGGGTAAATACGTATGTCTATAAACTGGTCGCAGTCCAAAACAATCTATGTGGATCAAATATGTAACTCATCCCTGTACCGATTTAGTTTTTTATAAGGAGACAAAGGGCGAATCTCAACAGGTAATACCGTCATGTAATAGACTTCCCCTCTCGCTGATAATCGTGTCCAACATAGTAGACTCGAATGGGAGTGTAGGGGGTAAGGAGGTAGGTGGCATTTGGTCCTATTTTGTTCAGTTTTCATGGTTATGTGTCGAATCATGTTACGATAACATGTCAGAAAACACTGACTACCATTGTTTCATATTGATTTTGAATTAATAATTCAGAGAAACTAATCCAGATGATTGATCTTGTCTTGAATATATTTAAATATATAGGTCAATTTGTGCTCACATTTTACATGGTCTATTTTTTAATGCACTTGTTCCACCGTTTCTCCAGCATATTGAGCCCCACCAGGAAACCATTGTCAGGTGAACCTAAAAACTCTCCCACATCAGTGATCAACCCATCATTCACCGAACTCCGCGGCCACTAGATCTGCTGGTGAGGCGGGATTTAAAGCCACAGGCCTGTTGTGTAAGGCACCCTGCCACTTGGGTAGTGTGAACTATTGAAATTGACCTCGGGGATTTTTTTGATTTGATAACGCAACCTAGCTGTGCAATTCATCTGTGTGATTATGACCGCGGAGTCCCAGCAAACGGAAGTTTGGCCTTGCAACTGGAGGACGGCCTGTCGGGCGTTGGCAGCATCAGGTGGTAATACTGCATATTTTGACATTTTGTCTCGAGTGATGAACCCAAGATTATTCGTTCCACTGATGTGTTAAAGATACGTGCAGTAGCTAACTAACAATTACTCACATGTCGACATTATTGTGTAGAGTACAGCATTATCCTTATCTTGGATGGTCACTTCACAATACCTACTTTTAGGAAATTTCATCTGAGGACAACCCCCTGGCAACGTTAATTCTTTGCCCCCCCCCCCACAAGTTTTAAATTTGTTGCAAAACATTATCTCTACCGTCAATTCGGCGTATATCTGCGGAAACTCGACGGGGTCACTGCGTAGTCACTAGGGAGACTATGTTCCATACCTATATATTAATTCCTACCGATGACTGATACAAATGAAGAATAATAAGCGGACATGAAAGTAGAATCTCTAGCGTATATCCAAAAACAATACATTCCGTTGAATCAAGAAGAATTCGATTCCTACCGATGACTGATACAAATGAAGAATAATAAGCGGACATGAAAGTAGAATCTCTAGCGTATATCCAAAAACAATACATTCCGTTGAATCAAGAAGAATTCGAATTGTGGGAGACTGGGAAACCCAACGCGCCATATAGTGACAGCACAGCGAATAGTTTAAAAATATTTTATTGCAAATAATTTACAAAGGGATTAAGACAATTTATAAAAATTATGAACCTTCTCCCAGGGAATAGAGTAATATAATATTATATAATATATGATGGCAGAACAAACATTTAACATACAATAAATACAGCTATATACAATATGTACATATATTTATAACTATTTATCATCTATTTATTGTTTTGATATATAATAGAGTAAATTAGATCATTATCATTTTACTAAATTAAGCATCTGATATAAACTATATATAATCATAAATACCTGTTTATCTAAAGTGATAAATATGAGTGTGTGATTGAGCGGATGTACATTAATCAATAAAGAATTAAAACCAAGTTTATAATTAAAACGTTTTGTGCTGGAACTATAATGTTGAACGGCAAGAAATATTTTCCTGTTTAAAATGTTGGGTAAAACAGGGCTCCCATTTAGTAAGATATTTAATAATTCGTCAGAGGGAAGACTGAAAACGGTCATTATTAAGGCACTAGATGAATGACGGAGTCGGTTATGAATAATTATTAGTTTACGTATGCCAGTGTTTCTATAATGCGGTGTAGAAATAGACTTTTTGAAATTGAGATATGAATTTGCATTCTTTTTATCATTTAATAGTCTATTATATTCAGGAATAGTTTTAGGAAAAAGGGATTGTTTTTTAAGACTCAGTCTACAAAAAGGAATCGGTATGTCATCTTGCTTTCTTAGATTATATGGTATATTATTGATAGGAGGAACTAAATCCAATAAGTATGAGGGACAATGGCCATTTATTATTTTCCAGAGTAAACAAAGTCTGCGGATTTTTCTGCGATCTGATAGTTTGGGCCACCTAGTTTCGAAATATAAAGCTGACCTCGGTGTGTAAATTGTGCATCCTGTGACAATTCTTGCTGCCTTAAGTTGAAGTAATTCTAATTTATAAATATTGAAATTTGCACAGGAATCACAAACTTCAGATGCATATTCTAAAATAGGTCTAATAAAGCATTTATAAAACTTATTTAAGGAGGATTGTGATAAAATATATTTTACGTGTCTTAAATGAAATAATTTTAAAGAGGCTTGTTTTAGCAGGTTATCGATTTGAAAATTCGACTTTGCATCACTTTGAAAAAGTACCCCTAAATGATTATGATAATATGAATTAACTAGAAAGGTTTTATGAAATTTAATGGATAGCAGATGCTTTTGTTTGTAAATATAAGTAAGGATGTTTTTTCAGGATTAAAATTAATCAACCATTTCTTTGACCATGTATACAAGATATCTAGATCTGAATTTAATTTTTTTTCAATGTTCTTGATAGATATATCAGTTGAAATTAGAGATGTGTCGTCTGCAAATAATCTAGACGTGCTTATTAGACCTTTATATATGTCATTTATATAGATAAGAAAAAGTAGCGGACCAAGTACAGAACCTTGTGGGACCCCGATATTGGGAAATCTAACACACGATTGACAGTTTGCAAGTATGACTTGTTTTCTATTTGTTATGCAATTGGAAACTAGCTCCATAATTAGACATTTAATGAAGTAAACCGTTATGTGAGACTTTGTCAAAGGCTTTCGAAATATCACAAAATATTATTGCTGTAATTTGTTTGTTATCTATACATCTCAATAAGTTGGTGTGATGTGGAAAAGCCGGGTAGAAATCCTGATTGAAATTTATATATTAAATTATTATTTAATAGAAAGTCTAAAATATGTTGATAGATAATTCGTTCGAATAGTTTTGAAACACTGTTAAGCAGAGAAATGATTTTTTAAATTCTGTTCCTTTACCTTTTTTTTGCATAGGAAACGCACGCTTACTTACTATCAAATTAAATATCTTACTAAGAGTGAGACATATACTTTGGCAAGTTGATTTTAAAAATAGATTATTAATATTACCAGGTCCATTTGCTTTCGAAGTATTCAATTTTTTAATAAGTGATTTTATTATGTTAGTGGTTTTATTGATTGGCGGACATGTATTATTACATCGAGGCGGAAATTCTGGAAGTTGTACCATATCATTAATAGTAGAAATATAACTAAAATATGTATTAAATATATATCTGCTGTATCTTTAGAATCTGTCATATTAACATTTGATGGGGACTGAAGAGATTGTATATAACGTCGGTGAGATTGTTTGATAAAACTTTTGAGGGTATTCCATCTTCATCGTTTATAGGTGCTACATCATACTGACATTTATGCACCGCCCATGCGTCAAGTGTCTAATAAAAAAAAAAGTTATTCGTATCTTTTTGATCTGATAAGGTTTGAAAAATTTGACATGTTTTTGGAGTTTGATGATTTCTCTAGTATACTGGGGTTTAAATTATTCCAATCTCTAATCGTGTTTGGTATAAAGCTGTGCTTATAGGCATCTGTACGCGCCTAAGGTATGTAGAGTTGTTGGCTATGTTTGTTTCGATTTTTTCTGTTGTTTGATTTGATGTCAGATGTAGGTATGCTTGCCTGGCCATTTAACCCTTTGTGTAGTAAGATGAGCCTATTTTCTCTTCTTCGGTCTTTCAATTGCTTCCAGTTAAGGTCTACCAATATCTGGGTCATCGATCCATCTTCATAATTGTAATTGTTGGTAACAAATCTTGCAGCCCGTTTTGTACTATTTCTAGCTCATTTACTAGGTATGTGCAGTTTGGGTCCCATACCGTTCCGGCATATTCCAAGATGGGTCTTACAAAACTTAGATAAGCAGTTTCTTTTACTTCCCTATTGCAAAAGTATAAATTGCGCCCAAGCATTCATAGAATTTTATTTGCCTTTGATGATATTTCCATAATGTGTTTCTCCCATCTGAGGTCGGATGATATAGTTACTCCCAGGTATTTGATATGCTTAAGGAATACTAACTTTGAATCTTCCAAAATCAATATGATGTTTCCTTTTACGTGTACGTTTCATCATGTTACATTTTACCGGTTGGAATCTCATCCAATAGTCTCGCTGAGAGTTTGTCTTTAATTTTTTTATATTTTCATTAATTGAGTTTTAATATTCTTTTTTTGAATAGTGTTTCATGTTATTAACTTTATTTCTATGTTTTTTGTGGGCAGATAGATGGTCTGTTCGTTTAGATTTTAATGCTTTTTTCTGTCATGGACGCTATTATCTAGATGTGTTTCTGTGAGACATATTATATCGAAATCAGATAGAAAACTTTCTAAAAAATCTAATTTGTGCCGCACGCTTCTAATATTAAGTTGACAAATAGACAAATTATCATGATTGTGAAGATTAAATGGACCTGAATTAGGGTGAATACCTTGAGTCAAGAGAAGGTGGTATAATGATATTAAAGCACTAAGCGTAATAAAATATTCTAGAAACTTTAGAATATGAATTTTATAATAATATTTATCGATTTTTGAGTTGT